TTTAGAGGGGTAGGGCAAAAGAGGATGTTTGCCTCAGGCAATATGCCTGGAAACATCCACGCCGGGACCCAACCAATCACGCCATTCATTCCCACGTGCGGGACAGTCCCAATGTGTCCGAAGCACTTGTGACTCTCCAGGCAGCGAAGGCCTCTCCAGAGACATCTATATACACTGACGGGGTATTTCTGACGGGGTTATCTGACTCCCAAATATGAAATAGTTGATGATGAGATAAAAACTTCTATTACGAATTGGAATTCTCCCACGTATCTCCTCCAGACCGTCCCAGACAATGCAGGAAAGTATCATCAATCCTACTGATCGGCAACATGTAGACTCTTAATCCAAGCCACGTGAGCAGGGCTCTGCTTAGACTGAATGCAATTTCATTGATGAAAATAAATATATAATTCACGTAGTTCCAGGAACAACTTTAATTAATTTTAACTGTTTTTCGTTGCTTTGCATTTTGAATATGTAAGCAGTTAGTAGAACGTTTCCAGGACATTTATGCAACGCCGGTCATAACTTGCATGAAACGTTCATTGGACATGTTCGAGTCCTTATTGGGTGATGGTCTTTGGAGATCATGTTCTTTCCTTCTACGGCAACAGAGTATTTCCTTTCCTCCGGTTAGTGGCAGGTTTTACCCGCCACTTTTAATCACGAACGAGTGTCCTTATACAAGATGCTTGGTGATCGAAAGGCACCTAAACTGAGGGGACAAACGGTGCCCATCCGTGTACATTGGACGGCCAAGAACCTCTTCGAACATACTCTGAATGTCCTCGAGAGCGTTTATATGCTACTTGGGCACTGTCATGTATAAAACCTGCAGGTCTTACTTGAACCTTGATTATTCTTGGCGAATGATCGTGTGAGTGGATCGTTGTGTAAACGAAGGTAAAAACGTTGTTTAGTAAAATCTCAGAACCGAAACGGCAATGCAACACTTACTGCATTTGTCAAAGCTCATTTCACGTATCATTCCACGTGGCACCTCACCACGTCAATGGAGCAAGGTGCCCAAAAAAGCAAAAACAATTACTCCTTATTCTACACGGGAATGGAGGTTGAAAGCAGCATACTACGTGGAACATGCTTCCCAGCCCTGGCGAGTGTTTCCCCTTGGAATCTTCAACTCGCCCTCTCGGCGTCGGCGCACAGACGCGGGAAATGAACCAGGCGAATGCGAGGGGAGTCCCCCAGTCTCGGAAACATCAACGGCTGACATCGTTCATCCGCGAATTCGGATGGAAAAAGTCAGGGAACATGCAGCATGAAGCCCAGTCACGATTCGCGAATCCCTTTTTCTTTTTGCTGCGAGCTTCCTTCTCCCATAGATTTTACTCTCAATCTGTATTACCATCTACCGATGCGACTGCGATGCTGGAAAACTTTGAGAAACTCTTGCGCTCGTCGGCTTCCTTGCGTTGTTCATAAACGCGTTCAAATCGCTGATGGTGATGTAAGCAGCGACGAAAGACCACGTCATCCTGCGATTCTAAACTTCAGCATTTTAAGAAATGCAGAAGAAACTGCTGCGATTGACTTCTTCGTGAAGCCTTGTGAACGCAAGTGGCGAGGAACTGACGAATCTGACGAATGTGACTGAGGAATCTGACGAATCTGACGCATTTCAACACGGACGCGTGTTGAAATGCTTCTGATTCCCTGATTCCGTGAGAGATGACTCCCCTTCTTTTCGTCTACCTTTTTTTTCCTAATGTTTCTGTCGAAACTCCTAGTTCACACACGCCGTCACACACGCACACGGACACATTTCGCTCGGCCTATCTAGCGGTAGGGATCGCGTCCGCTATATGTTTAACCTCCGGTTTGAATCACGCGTCGTTTTTTTCTGTTTTCAAAGGTGACATTTTAATCAACTCTCACCCGGTCCAAAGTAAATACAAGATCACGGAGGTAATGCCTAACCATAAGCGCCCTTGCCGGTCGCAGGTGGAGGCACGAGTGGAGAAAGTGAAGGCTGTGCCTGGTCCGCATCGTTAACCTCGACTCAGAGATGATGCATGATTGCGGATAGGAATCATCTCCACCATTTCCTCGTTCACGGTCTGACTCGTCATGAACAGACATGAACAGATATGAACTCGTCATGAGTCTCCACCATTACTTGGACCATTTTCCTCCTTCACATTTTTTTTTTACCATACACCACATGCTAATAAGCGATATATTTTCTGGCTCTTCCTCACGCCATCATTACACGGAATGTCCACAACAGGAATGAAATATGCTTCTGGTTCGAGTTATTTAATATGATGAAGGACAGGAAAACGTTCTAGGGAGCAGGTTAGTCATTAGTATTCAACGTCAAGGTTTTGATGCCTCACGGCAAGTACCTGATAAATAAATAAAAAAAACAAGCTTTTCATTTAAGTGTGCTTCATTGTTCCCGAACAAGGATGCGATGCATTTCATTTGAAAAATCCCGGAGTTTTTTTTTTTACATCTTGGAAGAACGAGAACATTATTCCCTATCAAAATCATTACGTTTAATGCAATGGCACGCACTTGAAAAGTACGTAACATTACATCGTACTGAGACGGAACGACGGACATGATACGCAGACTACTTTCCTCATCCCAGGAACTCCGCCGAAATTTTTTCTTCCCACCCGACCGTAATCTTGCCAGCCAACCCGATTATCGGCTCAGATCGGTCCCATCGAGCCGGAAATCATCGCCTATCCTTTCCGATATGCTATAGTTCGAAACGAAAACAACGGATCTCGGTTGAAGGAGTACGGGCGGAACTCGTTGAGAAGTTACGTAAATGCGATAATGGTTTCGCTCATAATGGAAATATTCCATTATTATTGATCGGAAAGCAAGCCTGTTTGAAATTCGAAAGTTGTCTCTCTTTAGAACGCTGTATGACGGAGCTCACGGGAAACTGCAACCTGGGGAAATTAGTGGTTCCCTCCTTATCCATATCATTCTTGGGAACTTCAATTTCCTTCCATGTGTCTCATTTGAACACTATGGAGGGCAATGGAAACCGATAACCTGAAGGACACGTGTTTTCATTCCAGAAGAAACAGAATTCGGGAAAAAGAGTACGAAATCGTTCCCCTGCCTAAAACACGAAGGACGTGGACGTGCATGGTACAAACGCCGTTAGGGGAAGATCGGGGGCGAAAAACGACCGATATGGCCTTCCTGCTGCGCATTCAATTGCGTGAGCCAGCAAGGACGGTCGGACTCCTATAAGTACCCGTGCGGTCGGCACGACGAAGCATTCCAAATCATCCAAGCCTTCTTGTTCTTCAAAGTGCCTCCGAGATTGGACTGTCCACGACACGTTGCTCTTTAACTCTGCGGGTGGAGAGAGTGGACGACCAACAGGAGAGTCAAAGAGAGAGGTGCATCGATTACATGCGATCCAAAAAAAAACTCCAGATTGAACCAAAGGGGGGGGGGAATTAGTCCAATAAATTCACATTAGGTCGTTCGTTTCCTCGAAAGCCCCTCTTGAAGCCCGTATATGGCTAAGGTTGAGCTTCTACTGGTCCAAACAAAGGACCAGGTACACTCAGCGATAATTTCGGTGGAATAGAAAATGAAAAAAGGGAAAGTGTGGAAGTTGTCACGTGTAAACATTTGGAATTTGAAATATATATTTTTTCTTTTGGACTGGAAAAATTCAAAATTCCTTGCATTCTAAAGCCAAGCTGAGTTCCGGATGAACACGTTCCCTCGAGGATCTCCATTAATTTATTCTCTGAATGCACTACATAAAATACCATCAATACCATATATATATACATGGCTGTAATGGAACCACCTCATGTAAAAGGAATAACATGCAAAGGCTTATACGTTTTATCCAATTACAAGATCTCCCGAAAATAAATGGAATTCATGCCTTCCCCAATTCTTGGTTTTATGTGGATTACGCGATTAAGGGGAAGGTACCATTATAGTTGACTGTAGCTGACTGATGTCGGACATGACAGATTGGTCCCTGAAAATGAAGCCATTCACTCGACTTGCAGCGATTGCGAAGCCTGTCAAACCAAGAAAAAAGGAAGACTTTCATCAGTTTTTCTTGTCCTCACTCACTTGGGGCAAGATCGATTATGACGTGCAGGTCATTCAAGTACGAATGTGGAGGCCTTCAAATGTGAGAGATCCACGTGACGGAGAAATTCCTGCTGTCCTTGCTCTTCGCTGATGACTCCGATATGTGCGAAGAAGAAGGTCGCGTATGGTGTGCCGCAATGACCTCCACTCCAGGATGATCCAGTGCTGTGGATCTGCGTCAATACACCTCTCAGCATTTTTCGCATTCACCAGATTTTCCTTTTACTGAGTATTTCAGAAAATACTATATTCCCATTGTTGCAATGGGAATATCATTTTTAAAAGATAATTTAGGTGAGTTGGTTGTCATGAACATCATTATTTGGGTGATGGGGTAAATTTCTGGCAATCCCCTTCGAAAGCATAGTAGGACCACTTCCAGCGAGAGGATTTTAATTTTATTTCACTCGTCCTATTGGTAACTAGTGACAACATTGAACTCCCGCTGATCCAACGTTAATATACGAACGAGGAGGTGATGGTTTTTTAAATTAAAATGATGCATCATCCACAGATACCCAAATGGGGAAATTACAGCTACATATTTTGGACAGCGCTAAAAGGCCGGCGTAACGCGTGAATGATTTCCCCAAAGTATTACTGCTTGGCGTCTATGCGCAGTTGGTTACACGGAAAAACCAGTCCGGAGGTCATGTAACGTGGAAACGCACATCCTGAGTGATTCACTCGAAGGAGCAGATTTCATGCCGATGTGACGCAAAAGACACCTTCAAACGTGCCGAACATCATGACCTTCTGCGGTATTTTTTCCGTTCGGAGCATGTTTCCATTTTTCTGCCTTGCTGCAACTGCGTACCACCGGGGACGCCAGCAGACTATAAGAACACAGGCATTAGCGGGTAAGAAGCAGCAGTCAGTCGAAGTATCGCAGCGACTTCGGGACATTCGAGCATCATGATCCTCTCATCGACATTTTTCGTGGTCCTCAGTCTACAGGTCCTTTTGGTAAGTCCTCATTCGCCACGTCAGTTACGAGCGCCATGCATGTCGCGATTTTCAGAAGAAAAATCAATTTTCTAGTCAGCTTCCACCTGGACAGGTTTTGATAAATTATTTCACGAACGAATTGAATGTTCCTTGAGAGATTTCAGCGTCTTGATTCCCTGCATTGTTGGGGAATGTTGAGGTGAAATGTTATCGCCTTTCGAATCAACCTTTGGTTTTTAGGGGAAATGCAATTTGCATGAACTTTTGTAAAACTAGTGATATTCATGCGAGTGACAATATGTAGTAAGTTTTAAATATTTCTGCTAATACGGATAGTAATTTATTTACACATAACTAACCATTCGTGTAGCATATTTTATTTTAGAAAATCTCTACTTCCAATTCAATGCTAAGAAAATAATCAAGCTTACATTGAGAGGATCTGACGCACGACAGGGGCAACAATTCGTAAGAAAAGGACAGCACCGATATCAGATATCGTAAAAAGCTGTCGGAACTCCTTGAAAAGAGGCGAGATTCTTCGATGCACCTGAACTGAAAGATCACAATTTCTCCCTTTCAGGCACTCGCAGTACCGGCAGGAAATGAAGAGGCACCAGAATCGAGGGACATTTACGACACGATAGAGCAGGGCCTGGAGTTCATCGGGGAGGGAATCGGCGAGGGAATCGTGGAAGGAGTCGGAGAGGCGATCGGCAAGGCTCTACAAGGGAGGTAGGTCCATATTTCCTAAGTATAATAGAATTTCGATGCGTTTATCCCGCTGACATGGTTGATGCACGATCGTCGAATAGATCCGGGATTGCGGCTCCTGAGGTACCTTCCTCAAGGTTTTTCGGAGCCAAGAGGCTCAAGAGATCCGCACGGAATCGTGTCCGACGGGCCGGAACTCAATGAAGCCAATTCCGAAATTGTGCGGTGGTCTTTTCCGTCCGTGAAACAGCTCTGGAACTTTCTTCTACTCTCTTGTCATGTATTTCATGAAATGAGCAGACCAGAGTTCAAAATAAATGTATTCATGCCAATGCATTCTTCCCATATTGTATTATTTAGGAAGAAAGAATAATGTAGCTCGAAATTGATGCGACGGTCGTCGAATCCGTGCCCTTACGACATATTGAAATAAACATAGAGGTATCTCATCACAAGCTAAAATAACATTGATAGCCTCATGATATGGTTCGAGATTTTCGGATGGAGTTCTTTAAAGTGCCTCCGAGATTGGACTGTCCACGACACGTTGCTATTTAACTCTGCCGGTGGAGAGAGTGGACGACCAACAGGAGAGTCGAAGAGAGAGGTGCATCGATTACATGCGATCCAAAAAAAACTCCAGATTGAACCCAAGGGGGGGGGGGAATTAGTCCAATGAATTCACATTTGTTCGTTCGTTTCCTCGAAAGCCCCTCTTGAAGCCAGTATATGGCTAAGGTTGAGCTTCTACTGGTCCAAACAAAGGACCTGGTACACTCAGCGATACTTTCGGTGGAATAGAAAATGAAAAAAGGGAAAGTGTGGAAGTTGTAATGTGTAAAAATTTGGAATTTGACAAATATTTATTTTTCTTCGGAGTGGAAAAATTCAAAATTCCTTGCATTCTAAAGCCATGCTGAGTTCCGGATGAACACGTTGTACTCGAGGATCTCCAAGCATTTCTTCTCAGAATGCTCTTCTTAATCTTGCCTGGAAACATTATGCGAGGCACGTGCGTTTCATTTATTACCCGAGCGGCTTTCACCACCCATCCTAAAGATCGGTGTGACATTGGCTAGTTTCCGGTCTCCGGGCACTCCACGTGGAAAAAAACATATATATTCGGCTATATTGTTGTCAACGGCATTCTTACCTCTCTCGCGAGTTCCTCGACGGCAGGAACAGTAATCACATATCTGCCAATGGCTTCTTCTGCCCTTAGATTTCCCATCCTCCCATTCTTCCTCAGTGACCATTACGTGATCTATTTACACCCAAAATCCTTCCGTCATCGTAAGAACGTCATCGATTTCCCTGGTGAACACAAATGAAGAGATCGTTACTTTTCGTGGGCATGCCTATGTGATCCGCTACGCTCTCATCCCTATTGTTTCGTCTATAAAGACTCTTTTCCTTTGAAAAAGCGCAGATTCCGATTTTCCTTCATAAAATCATTCACCTTACATAGGAACAGGCTGATATAAGACATAATCAAAACATGGCTGTAGTGGGACCACCTCATGTAAAAGGAATAGCATACCAAGCCTAATACGTTTTATCCAATTACAAGAACTCCCGAAAACAAAAGGAATTCATGCCGTCCCCAAGTCTTGGGATTACGTGGATTACGCGATTAAGGGCATGGTACCATTATAGTTGCCTGTAGCTGTTTCATGTCGGACATGTCAGATTGGTCCCGGAAAATGAAGCTGTTCACTCGACTTGCAGCGATTGCGAAGCCTGTTAGACCAAGAAAAAACAAGAGTTTCATCAGTGTTTCTTGTCCTCGCTCACTTGGAGCAAGATCGATTATGGCAATGACCTGCAGGTCATTCAAGTACGAATGCGGAGGCCTTCAAATGTGAGGGATCCACGTGACGGAGAAATTCCTGCCGTCCTTGCTCTTTGCAGATGACTTCGATCCGTGCGGAGAAGAAGGTCGCGTATGGCGTGAAGCAATGACCTCCATTCAATGATGATATAATGCTGTGGATCTGCGTCGATACGCCTGTCAGCATTTTTCACATTCACCAGATTTTCCTTTTACTGAGTAATTCAGAAAAGACTATATTCTCACTGTTGCAATGGTGATATCACTTTTGACAGATAATTTGGTGCCTTGGTTTCCATGCACATCCTTATTTGGAAGGCTTGGTAAATTTCTGGTGTAACGGGCACGGGGCGCAGTGGGTTGGATTTATGAAAATACCGACTATTAATTAAGTTGAAATAAAAACTTTGCCTTAACGCGCCCCGATTCCACTACAATAAATTCCCTTCCAGGAAATCAGGTCCGTGCCAATTCAAATTCGAGTTGGAGTAACTAAGGCGTAATTCAAGAAAACAAAAAAATGGATTTCCAAAAAGAAAAATTAATAATAAAAAAGACAAAAAAAATGTTAGCCAAACAACCGGTCCAACCCCTTTACAATACTTTCAATGAGAAAGGGCCGGTCTTCACTTCCAGATAAAACCCTGCAAGTTCTGGGGAAAACTCACGACCATCGAAGCGAAACGACCCTCTTACTAAACGTTGTTCCTCTCTATGTTTTTTTTTACAGAGAAAGGCGGCCAGTTTCAAAACACCCACGATCTAAAAGGGCCCGAGTACCCCGGTCAAATCGGTACTAACTCGAGTTGTTCGAGTTCGAGCTCTTCAGTCATCTCGGAGTGAGGGATCGAGGGAGGGATCTTGAGCTGAAATCTTGCTGGATTGGAGGATAGGTTTTGGCGATTTGACTTGATTGGAGGGACTTTGATACCCATTCGCGTAATGATGTGGCTCCTTGTACAGTGTGTGGGTAGCACATTTGAGAAGGAAAGGTCCTGTATTTAAACTGTAAGGAGCCCTTCCACGGGTTGGTTGACCCCCAAACACTGGGTTCACCTCCTTCCACGTGTTGATGGATGTTTTAGTTCACCTCCTTCAGCTTCCTTCCCGCCTTGACTCTACTGAAAACGTTGATAAACTGGACGTTGCGCGGTCATAGGCTGGCATACGTTACACCGGTAATCCTCTTCGAAAACATGGTAGGACCACTTGCAGAGTCAGAATTTTAATTTTATTTCGCTTGTCCTATTGGTAGCAGGTGACAACATTCATCTCCCACGGATCCAACGTTAATATATGGACGAGGAGTTGATGCTTTTTTAACTTAGAATTTGCGTGATGCATCACCCTCAGATACCCAAATGGGTGACACTCTAGATGCATTTTTGGACAGCGCTAAAAGGAAGGCGTAACGCGTGAATAATTTCCCCCACAAGGATTACTCCCTGGCGTCTATGCACAGTTAAATTGCTTATACGGAAAGACCAGCCCGGAGATCAGGTAGCGTGGAAACGCACATCCTGAGTGATTAAAGCGAAGGAGCAGATTGCATGCCGATGCGAAAAGCAAAAGACACATTCAAGCGTGCCGAACATCACGACCTTCAGAAGTATGTTTTCCAAGCGGATCATCCTTCCATTTATCTGCCTTGCTGCAACTGTTTTCCAGCGAGGACTATAAGAACACAGGCAGTAGCGGGTAAGCAGCAGTAGAAGCATCGCAACGACTTCGAGACATTCGAGCATCATGATCCTCTCATCGACATTTTTCGCGATCCTTAGTTTGCAGGTCCTTTTGGTAAGTCCTCATTCTCCATGTCGGTTGCGCACGCCATGCATGCCGCAATTTTCACTAGACAAACGATTAAGAAAAATCAATTTATTAGTCAACTTCCAAGCTGGACAGGGACAGATAAATCCTCTATAAATCTCATGAAAAATTGAAATATTTATGCTAATACGTATTGTAATTGATTTTAATACAAACCATTTATGTAGCATATTTTCTTTTGGAAAATATCTACTTCCAATTCAATGATTAGAAAATAATGAATGAATGAATGTCGGTGTTTATAAAGTCACAATTTGGCACATGGATTTGCCGAGTTTCCAAGTATTTTGCACGAAGTGATATCAATATGATTAATGAAGTAATACAATGAGTAATTTTGTTGAGTAATTTCTCAACATATTTTGGAATCCATATGAAGATTTATGAAGGAAGATGTTATTTAAAAATTATCACGTGTTTTTGCCTGGAGTTCAACATTTTCGGAATCAAAGTCGATATCTGTCTAATATGCTACGTTGTGAATGATGTATTCAGTGAGTGCTGCACAAAGCAGAACTTTGCCTTAGAGTGAGTTTTTGTGATTTCGTTTGATTTCTTTCGGTGAAATTTCTGTAGTACAGATGGGATTATCTTCATCTGCCTCTATCGGGTTTCTGGTTCTACCGTGTCGTCCTGATGCGACTCGGAAGAGCTTTCAGTTTTCTTCGCGAAATGTGAAGTGTGACATTTTTCACGTCTTTCGCTAATATTCTGTTCCGCGCACGTCCCAAAGTAAACTGTAAATGGAAGTTTTGAAAAAAAATTGGGTTGCACATGGAATAACAAAAGAGAGATTGCGTAAGTATGCCAAAAGCACATTTTCAATGGCTCTGAAAATTGAATTAGTCTGAAATTAAATGGGAATTGATTTGAATTGGACAAGATTTGAAGTGTGGTTCGTTAGAAATATAAGAGAACATTACAATGCTTCTGTGCTGTCATTTGGCTTTATGCAGCCGGTATCATTTCTCTGCGGTCAATTGGGTCTTTAAACGATCGGGTACGATGTGGCCCAAGCACATCGCAATCGATCCTTGTTGAGCGGGTCATTAGCGACTATTAACAGTCAAGCACAGAAGCCATGGCTGGGCCATTATTGCCAGGTGGCTTACATCATGCAGCGAATCTCGATGGCCGGCATGTCGGGTTTCACGATTTTCTCTCGTTCCCCTCCCACACAATGCAATTACGTGCTGGTCATTCAGGGACGAAACCATGATGGAAAGTCGCACACGTAGGGCCCATTATATGTCAGGTATAGGAAATCTCCACTCTCTTCGCTTAACGCAGATGGCTTCATCACTTACGAGAATCAGGGTAGCGTCTGGCGTGCCGCAATAACCTCGCTTCAGGGATGTTGTCGATCCGTGCCGACATGCACCTCTACATATTTTTTAAAACCAGATTTTCCTTACAAACTGTAGCCGGTGAAGCTGCTGCAAATCGAAGGAAACGAAGTGCTCTGTCGTCGTGGAAGGGATCAGCATGATCCTCAGAGACTACCACACACGCAAAGCCAGACCGGTTCGGGGTCCTTCAAAGACTGAACCTCGTCGGGATGAAGCACCCGCAGAGACCTTCATGGCCCAGCCATTCCCGTCGGAGGGAATTCCCTGCCCAAGTCGAAAGCCAAGGCTGTGCCTGGACCGCAACGTTAACCGCGAATCGAAATGATTGCAGAAAGGGAGTCAATGGATTTTCCTCGTTCGCGGTCTAACCCGTCATGAACTCGCCACGAGTCTCCACCATTACTCGGTCCATCGTCCTCCCTCACCGAACTTGCCATTTTTTGTGAGCCACATGCTATTAAGCTATTTTTTTCCTGGCTCTACCTCACGCCATGATTACACGGAATTTCTACTGTAAGGATGAAATGTACTTCTGGTTCCAGATATTTGATATGATGAAGGAAGGGATAACGTTCTAGAGAGCAGAATTAGGCATTGGTATTCAGCGTCAGAATACAGATAAAAAAAAGAAGCTTTTCATTTGATTGTGCTTCATTGTTCCCGAACAACGAGGCAATAAACTTTATTCCAAAAATCACGGAATGGTTTTAAAAAATTATCTTGAAATAACGAGAATATGACTCTCTGCCAAAAGCAAAGCATTACGTAAAATTATATCGTACCGACGCACACAAAAAAATGACATGCCGACTGCTTTCCTCATCCCAGGGACTCTTGCAGCATCCGAGGTCTCTGAAGAAATTTTCCCCCACATCGGTCCCATCGAGCCGATCGGCATAGATCCGGACATCATCGTCTTATCCATCAATCGATATGCAACAGTTCGAAATGAGAACAACGGATCTCGGTTGAAGCTGATGGAACTCGCTGGAAAGTCGCGTACATGCGATCATGGTTTCATTCATCACGGAAACGATCCATTGTTAGTGATCGGAAAGCAAGTCTGCTTCAATTTCGAAAGTTGTCTCTCCTTAGAATGCTGATGGTGAAACTCGCGGGAAATGGCAATCTGGCAACCTAGGAGGATGAAAACGAGAGAGTTACCAACCCAACTCATAAAAGATGTTGAATACCTCGCGAGCGGAAATTATGAAGTATTATCTAATACTATAATTCGACGAGGTCTAAAGTTGTGGCGGTGGTCACCCCCAAAGCGCAGGCCTACGATGCCATGCCATTCTGGGTCATAGGCCAGGCCATCCACGACCTAAATCGCCAGGCCTGCAAAGCTTTTCTAGGCCATAGTCCAGGACCTAAACTATGGCCTGGAAAGTTTGATGGCCTAGACTGTAGGCCATAAAACTTTGGCATACTCTTAGTCTACTTTTAAAAAGTTAACCTTATAGATGGCTGTTATGACAAGGTGTGTCAAGACCCCTGCTACCTTTTGAAAAAGAATAACTGCGTAATGCTAAGTTTCATTGAGACGTGGTTTACACTATTCAAAAGAAGAGGTCACTCAAGTAAAAATTTCCGCCTATTTTCCCGAGACGTAACTGTAATTGCTTTATCGGGGGTCATTTAAGGGCATTCACATATGAAAACACGTCTGCGGCGCTGAGGCATGTTGTCTGTACACAACAGAGTGTTGGATTATGTCTCCAATGTGATCGCTTCCAATTGAAAGGAGTTGGATTGAGGAAAGGAAAGTTTGAAGAAAGTTTGACAATCGATAATCGTGTACCAATTATTCGGCTTTAACCCAAATTCGGCCAGAACATTGCAAAAAACACTTGACAATAGAAGAAGAAATTCAACCTAGAGACCATCAGCCGCAATTCCATCTTCTGGGTCACCTAGAATTTTGACACTAACAAGAATCAATCGTAGATTGATTCTCGAATTGGGATTTTCTGCAATTTGGACGCTCACTATAGACGATGCCTTTTTTGGCCATAGGCTAGGCCATCCACGGCCAAAAGCATGAGGCCTACAAGGCTCTGCCATTCTAGGCAACATGCCATCTTATAAGTTAACTTAAAGAGTCCGATTGTCTAGGTGGTGCCACTCGCCCCACCGCGCGAGGCCTACGAGACTACGTCCTTTTAGACCATAAGCTTAGCCATCTACCGCTCAAAGCGCCAGGTTCATAGGGCCATGACAGTCTGAGCCATAGGCTGTGACTCATTTAGCTATGTGAAGAATGGGGTCTTCCACCCTTTTCGCCTCCTAGGCCTACCGGGAAGAACTCTTTGTTTCCCTAAAAATGCACCTGACTTTTACGGTGATTAAAAGGGAAAAAACATAACAAAAGAGGGGAAGGAGGAAATATACTGTGTACTCCTCCTGAGGTATTAAAAAAAGAGTTGCAGGAATCTAATCCTTTTCCACTCTAATATGTTCCATACCTTTCTCTTCCCTTCATAATGGTGTGTTGTGATGAAGAGGAATAATGTTAATTATTTCATAACCTACATGAAATTATCTGTCTTATGATATACTGTTAATCATGATATGACATGTTAAAGAAAATGGTTTTGAGTTTTATAACTTAAATTTTGATGTAATTACTGACCATTCCATAAGGAAACAGGAAAAAGTACATAATATTATCAATAATTAATTTCTAAGTAAGAAGAAAGGTATGTTGTCACCAGGAGGATGGGACAACCCTGTAACCGACTGGGGGAAGCACATAAAACGAAACCAGTAAAGATAATGATAAAGTCACACCAGCATGATGACTTTAAATAAATTAAGTCGAGGCCAACACTGAAAAGGTAGCCAATGGGACAAAAGGGGGCCAAGTCGTATATCCAATCCGAATCTCGGATTTTTGAGGAAGGTACCCTGGCTCCTCCCAAAGGTACCGAGGATATTAGCCAGAGACTTGGATCCTGGAGTCAGTCTCTATTTGGAAGGCACCATTGGGACCTTACCATATCCGGAGCTGACTCCAGGACAACCTACCAGCGGTAAATGTTAGCCCTGTCCTTTGGTTGCCCGAAGTAGCGTGGCCCGAGTAACGGAGAGAAGGAATAGTAGGATAAATAACCTTCAGGTTCCAGTAGAATTTTCCCCAGTCAGATCCTTCTCCCATCCAATATTAAATTTACACATTGATTACTATTATCCTATTAAAGAAACTCTGTTCTATTTGGAGCGTCCAAGAGTATTTGGATAGATTTCTTGTTGTTAAATTCTTTAACAAGTACTGTGGATAACTTTGGTTTTTGATATTTCATTATTGTCAATATTTTTAATGAAGTTAAGTACTTTACTTTGAAGAATCACGAGGATTTCCATTTCTCCAGAAATTCTGTCTGGCGAACCTGCCATGATCCTCGAATCTGGAACGGGGCAGGTGACCAATTAATATTGATCACTTGTTACGTCACACTAGGTCTATCAAAATGTTGGCGATTTTTGCGAGGTGAGGTCGAACGCGAAGAAAAACTGTTGAAGGAGGTCCCACAGCGATCAGTCAGTCGCTGCAGATAAAAAACGATTGGTGCTGGCGCGGAAAAAAACGTTTGCCCCTGCTGCTGCGGTGCGAAGTGCCTAAATCGGTGCTTGCCGTAATGGCTAGATTGAGTGCTGAACAGCACGCAGCTGTACGTAGGGAGCGTAGGGCCGTTCAGACCGCTGAACAGCAAGAGGCAGCTAATGATGAAGTCAGGAACAGGAGAGCCGTGCAGCCTGCTGAGCAACTTGATGCAAGGAACGCAGTACTCGGGTGTCGAAAGCTGGGGGGCGGCCAGAAATTGAACCGGGAACTCCTACTTGCTGGTTAGGTGTGCTACCATTGCACCACGGAACTCGGGATGTTATGCCTCTCCATGTCATCTCAATCACTACAGTCGTTTGCCGCAGCGAGCACTGTCAGGCTGTACATTTTGATTTAGTGAGGAGGCATTTGTTTCACATTGCTGGCACAGCGGAAAAGTGCAACTGCTGCAAGTCACACCTTACCCTGAGGCTCTGAAAGTGTTGCTCACTGGTGCTAATGTGGCGGCTAGGCATTTTCAGGGATTAGTCGCTAGCATTGTCCCGCACATGCACTAACTTCCCTCTGTGCCGTCGAACAAGTTCTTGGAAATGGTCCGCACTGTTTCAGAATCATTGGTGTCTGTACCATACGCTAACGCTAATAGCCCATGAGTTAATCGGTAATGCAAGGGTATTGAATGTGCTAGGAAGACGAAATCAGCAAAGTCGTCTTGCGTCTCATGAAAACGGGCTAAACCGAGGCGTTCACAATGGCGACTGTGGCAATCAGCTGGAATATCATGATGATGGTGCTTAGGAACAGAATCTCCCTATGTACTGTAAGCTATATGTGTATAAATGTAATGAAGAGGTTCAGTTCCGAATGGGTAATGCGATGAACAGAGGGTTGTGAAGGAGACGTTATGCTCACAATAGACTATTCAAATCTCCCCCTATTAGACGCCGGCGTAGCGGTCGCAGGCCGCTACTTGAAATATATTTGAATGCCGAATCATGATGACATGGTTCGAGGTTTTCGAACAAGTTGGTGAATGTACCTCCGAAATTGAACTTTCCACACGTTGCTCTCTAGCTCTCCCAGTGAAGTGAACGGACGATCAACAGGAAAGCAAACGAGAGAGGTGCGTCGCTGCATCCGAACGAAAAATTTCCCCACATTCAACTGGAGGGAAAAAAGTGCCTTCGAACGGCTTCGTTAATCCATGAGTTGAATCTATATGCTAAAAGATGTGTTAATTACGAATGGCGGGAATTTCATTAGTGTTGATCCTTCAACCAAATCGCAACATTCCAACATTTTATGAATGTCGACATAACGTGATTTCGCCAAATGCAATTCACTTCCGCAAGTGGTAACCCCGACGATTTCCATACAAAGTATAGAAATCAAACTGGTTTGAGTTAAACAAAATCAAAATATAGGCTAAATCCAAGAATGAGTAGGCCACTTCATTGTCGTACCAAAATGAATCGGAACGATACTTATCTAGGCTTTGTCTTTGGGGTACCTCAACTTCATGAAATTAAAGAGAGAAGTGCATCAATTACAGAAATGCGACCATTGAACAGTCTGAAAACCAATATCCTAATGGTTTTCTAATGTATACTCTTTGAAGGTTTCCTTCATATTTCTTCCTCTCATGCTAATCTTGAAATCGATAGGAAAAATTGGTGCGATTAAGCGTCTTCTCGCACAGAAGAACACAGAAAGTATTTTATTTCATTTCAGGAACGTAAAAATGAGGTAAATATCAGTTCATAATAATATGAAAGTGGGAGAAAAAAAAGTGCGAAAGTCGCAAGGACAAAAAAAATGGAGGAAGAGTCTGAGCATATTCTTGACAAAATTGTTTTTTTTTTTACATTGGAATACCCAGGAGTGGGGTGAATTAGATGAATTGAAGAACACTGCCATGTTTGCCTGTCCTGGAGGAGGTCCTTTCAGGGCTTTTGGAATTCTATTTGGAACTACTGCACAGTGGATTTTGCCTATCAACGCGACATGGCACCTGAGCGCTGATTTAGCGACACTCAAACTGGTGCCCTGAAAAATAGAGTCCCTTTTATTTTACTCAATAGTACCAGATTTTTCCGGGGGAGTTATAGGGACAGTCATAAGACTTTTGGTAATATAGTCACATGGTTAAGGAAATCCAAGTTGGAAGAATTACCTGTATTTTCGACGAACTTTTCTCTTTGCCTTGAGATTGAGCAGCACAAAAATACAGCTAAAATCCGAATTATGACGGCTGAGTCGATTGAAGGTCGAACATACTGAAATGTTCTAACAAAAAAGTTTCACGCGTGCAGTTCCATGCATCGTTTTCCTTATGCTCAATAATTAAAAGGCCCGAGCAGCAAGAGGTGCCGTCATAAATCAACATTTTTGAAAAGATTGTTTGCTGAAATTTCATGGAGAAGTTTAATAAGAGTGAAAGTGGGTCTGGAGCTCCAGCGGTAAAAGGGAGAGATCCAGGCATCGTATCGAGTTTGTTAGCAATACAGGCAAGCAAAGTCATTATGGACTGCATTCTACGATATCATGAAATTGTGTACTAGTTTAAAGCGCCCGTTTCGATGCTCACCTCTACCGAAAGTGGTCGAACTCCTTTGGTCTGTGGTGTTTTTCAATGCGACTTCCGGGTTCTTCTAGTTGTGCCAAGTAAATGCCAGGATAATGGTGGTAACATCAGGCAAATGACCATATTTTCACTTTTAATGGAAGTACACCATAGAATTGTTGTGTATGTAACTCGAAAAATAATATTTCCTAAAATCTACATTACAACTTTCGATTGTACAACAGGTTACACCGCTGCTAATAGGCATAATGGGTCATTCCACGTCGTATTACCGCATGGAATACGAGGCAACCTCTCAAAAATTGAGGACTTTTGGTGTGTCTGCTTCTTTTCGGAAAAGAGAAAAATTGGGCAATTTTTTCCTCTCCGATCATTTCTTCAAAAGTAATGCGAACCTGCTAAGCCAGAGCCACACCTACCATAGGAATATGGGTGTAACATCGGAAGTAAGAGTCCGATTTCAATGAACAAGATGCCATTCAAAAGGGAGACGTTGGAAGAATCCAAACGTGTAAGGAAAGGTAACATCCAATGCTCCAATGCCATTTTTCGTGGGTGAAAGGATTCAGATTCTCCCATCTTATTCATGAATTATCTTTCTGTCAAGACTGCTCCATAAATGCGTCTATGATTCTCTATTGAGATGCTAAGTGTCAAATCTAAGCAACTTTCCTGGACCTGTCAGAGCTTGAGAGCGAAAATAATGAAGGATTTTACTAAGCAATAGAGTTTGCAGAGGCTGGTCGGAGTTTCAACTCAAACGAAAGTTGATAGGACAACATTTCTATTCCCCCAATCGTGTTCATGCCGCGATTGAAACACTCATCCAGTTTTCTTAATCCTTCCTGGCCTGAGGTGAAGTATTGATAATTACTCACTTATTTGATAATAATGATAAAAACTGAAGAAAACATGAATATTTCTTGGTGGAATACATTTTCCCAGTACCGTTCAACATAGGGAACCATCATCAATCAAAAGCCACAGAAAACATGCCTTACTGTTGACTTTCTCTGGCGTCACAGGACAATCAAAATGAAATGCTTTCTGCGTTTCATCTCGGTCCGATGCGAAGCTATACTGATTTCGCCAAGGTTTCTCTTCGAGGGAAAAATCTATATCTATTCCACCTTTCCACGAATCGTTCAACGATTGGTTCCTTTCGCTCACGTGACATTGCATATAGAAACCATATAAAATTAAATAGCGGAAGAGAGAAGCCATCAGTCTTTCGAGATGGCCCCTTTTGGGAGGATCTATGTGATCCTCTTCTCCCTTCTGCCTTTGAAGAGGACATCATCCTTCCGCACCTATTACTCTGTTCATCAGGGTAAAAGGTATTCGAATGCGTCCTTGGAATTCCAGGTTCGGAATATGGGGGATTGCAACATACGCTGCGTGAGCCGACGACCAACACCTTGCAACGCCTTCAACTATCGTGACTCGGATGGATCCTGTCAGCTGATTCTAAACGACAAAAGTGCTCTCATCCCTTCCGAGGGATACCTGGCTTATGTGCAGAGTAAGTCCATGAACATTTATATACTAGTGAGTTTAGTATGCATATGGTTCACCGAGTAGCACTTGGAGAACCATGTGCATACCAAGTTTCAGCCTTATTCGATTGCTCTTTTTATTTGTGCCAAAATATATTTCGAAAAACCAACACAGCCAAAAACGTTTTCCTATTCACCTCAAAACCCGACATTTTGCTAAACTCACTATCACCACAGGTATAGTTGTACCCAAGTTTTACCTTTCTGTTTTGACTCAATTTGGACAAAAAAGCCATTAACTTGAAAATGTTATCCCCAGAAATATACCCACAGGGCACGCATCTGAAACCTGACAATTTTCCTGAACTCAGCATCTCAATAAGGACGTCCATGCCAACTAAAAAAAATATTTGAAAACATATTCCCCTCAATAAGGTGCCACTAGAGCACGTAACTTCAAAGTGTGCTTTTCGGAGTTTTACAACCCAAAGGTACATGTGTGCCAAGTTTCCGATTTTTACCTCATGTAGAACATGGTTAGAATTAGTGTCAATCACTCACGCAGTCACTCACTCAGGCACGATCGCTCATATATATATACAGGGTGACCAGAAAGTCCTGTCCATTTTTGTCCCATATTTTTAACTATATAAATACAAAAGCCCTAGCAATCTTTTCATGCAGTTTTGTTCCCTAACATTATT